TTAATCACCTTCGAAGTAGACCCCTTCAGAAGCCACACACTTTAGCCAGCGTCGTTTCCATTGATATAAGCATTTTCCTGGGGGGAGGAGTCGCATTCTCTTGGATTTCCTCGATGTCTTGAATTCTTGTTCCTTTCAAGCGGGATTTGATTTTTGGAAAGATCTGGGGAATATAGCGGTTATCGAACCTGAGGAATGTTGTCCTTGGCTAAAAACCACTGCACAAGCTGTGCCTAATGGACAGGTACGCAATCAAGGTGTAGTTGCTAATCACCGGACGCATGCAATTTTGTTTTTTTCCGACGAACAACATCACGGTAGTGCTCTTTGTTTTCTGTCTGGCCAGGTGGAGCATAGTCAGGATGAACAATAGCTTTGTAGCTGAATAAAACTGTCAACGGTGTTTTCACATTGCTTCGACTCATTCATGTATTCTTCAGTCTCGGTTCCACTACGAAGGCTGAACCTTGACCCACCTGTTATGTCCGTTTTCAAAAGGTTTTCTGTGGTATGGTGAGACGACGGCACTCTACATATTTTCCTCCAATCAGATGTGAGCAAGAACGTTATAACTTAATGTCCAAGGTCAATCCGTGCAAAGTGGCCTCACTCTGAGTACTTTAGCGGCGTTACATTAGCAACAGTTCGGATACTTTTTGATCAGACCTAGTATGCATGCGGATGACTGTCCTCGTCTCAACAAAGACGAGGACAGTTATCACAATTGATAATTGATAAATATTGCATTGCATTAGTTCTGTATTACTGCTGTAGCATACCTACGGACGATAATGAGTATGTCCCCATTCACATAAATGCAATAGTAAATACTGTATGTTGGACTGCAGTTGGAGATTCATTGTGGAATTCACTTGACTCACTTCTAGCAGTTGACTACTTTATCTACACGCCGCTAGCGAATCTTCTGTGTGTTGTTCGTGTCCTAAGTATTATCGTTCATTACCAACCTTCGTGTGATTATTCTATTCAGTAACCTTCTCTAGGTTACAACATTTTGGCGACAAGGATGAGATAAAATTACCACAATTACTTTTTCGAATGTTGTAAATATAAAAAATATTATTGTAAATAAACAATCTAATCAAATGGATAGTGTTTAATATTTTTGTTGTAAATTCCCAAGAACAAAAAATGTATAAATTAATTTCATCATATGTCTATATTTTATTTCAATTCTAATCATCAGCTTTTAAAACAATAAACATTGCCGAAGAGCGAAGGTAGTTAAAAAAAGCATTGTAATGGGGAAAAAAGACCGTTTTGACACTACGTCTTATGACGAGCACGTTTATCCATGTTTGCCAAAATATTGATTTCTCATCGATTTAGAAGTGGGTCCACTTCATAATATCAATGCAGTTATTGGACTTTATTTGTTATTTATAAATTTCAAATTTAAAACTCTGCTTCCATCATTGATATCGGCATATTTCCTTTTTTTTTTTTTTTTAAATTTTTAAAACTTTAAAAAAAAATATTGTTTTGATGGAGAATTTTTCGGAAGCACATGCACAGACATCGGGTGATAATTATTTATAAGTATTAATAATTATCTATCGTAAATGAATAATAAACGAATATACATTTTTGTTAAATTATTTAAATTTTTGTTCTTTAATTAAAGATGTATATATCTGTATGTTCTTTATTTAAAAGAAATCTTTTTGTAAAAAAAAAAAAAAAAAAAAACCAAAAAACCCAAAAAGTCAGTGACCAATGTTACATTGTATCGATATTATGAACAGGATCCCGTTGCAACAAAAACGCTAAAAGATCAATTTCGCACCCCGAGAAAGTCCTAATAAATGCTAATCTACAAAAATTATTCCCCTAAAAGTTTTCTTATTTTTTTATGGGTGCCATGGATGTTATTAATATCATGTCACGTCGTGTTGACTTAGATAATGGGTGAACTACGGAAGAAATGAATATTCTCCTATTTGCATTTCCCCCATTATGGTCATTACTATATCCATATTATAGCGAAATAGCTGAAAGAAAAGGAATGATAAAGACGCTTTGTTCTTAGAGAGAGCTTTATACCACTAAGTCATACACAAAACTGTATATACGTAGTTACACATGCCCCACGCTGCGAAAATATAAGATGTATGCAACAACAAACAGAATGAAAAGAAACAAAAAAGTGAGTGTGATCTATAATAATTCTCAATGGGAACTAGAAGTGCCGGAGAGACGTCTGTGTTTCTGGTGTAGCCATATTTAGGATTCCAGATTCGAGCGGGCCGGATTTATCTGCTAGGTCGCTAGCGAAGACATATTCCGCAAACGGGAAATGGCGAGTCCTGGTTTTTTTTCCAACACAAAGACTGCGAGCCGGAGATATTTTCTATATTCAGTGAAGATAAATTTCCATAGAAAAACGACGCCATAGGGACTGGAGGAGACAGGTATTTTTTAGTATCAGCCCGGACTCCAAAATAAATCAAGTCACTAAGCGGCCGTCACGTGAACTACGTGATTCCATCCAAACGGAGATAATCGTCTTTTTGAATCCCTACAAGTGGACTAGTCTACTTAAGTAGTCACCCTCTATGATAGGCCCCTTGTATTGGGTTAATATGCTTCATAAGAGAATGTGAATTCTAAAGTTTCAGTTAAATAAGTTTCAGTTAAATAAAACATTTTCTTGATCGAATTACCACGGATGTATTTTAGTATTTCATTTCTGAGATGACTAATTGTCAATATTCTTGCATTATTGTTATTATCTTAGTTGATATAGATGTTATTATAGACATGACGTTTCGACCAAGTACACTCTGGCTATCACTGATTGGAGGTATCTGTTGATTATTGGGATAATTTATCTGTGATATCCCTTATTGTTCATTCCTGCTGAATTGGTGCTTGACTATCTAATCCAAGGATTGAATTCATGACTAATAGATGATATTAACAATTCCTATATCCACTACGCTACTGTCCCGAAGGACATTAGTTGTATATTGTTTATGCATTTTATATTCAAATTCAAATGGGTTTTGACATTTGGTTAAAATAGCGGGTCCGTGTTGCTTTTCAAAATTGAGTATTTAATTTTTGAAATAAGTAATTATTGTATTAATATTGTATTTGTAGCTTGTATTATTTCGAACTTTCTGTTCTCATCTTGGTTGATATAGATATTATTATAGACTCAACGTTTCGACTAAATACCCTTTGGTCATCATCAGGTGTCCATCGATAGTTTGATTTGGGATATCTGTTGATTATTGTGATATTTCGTCCCTGTCATAACCAAATGCCAAAAACCATCTAACATTGAATATAAAATACTCCCAAAAAACACATCACTGATATCCTCCGGGCAAGTGGCGTAGTGAATATAGATGTTGGCTATACAGGTGTTATTGTCATTTAGTGGTCATGAGTTCAATCCATGATTCAGATAGTGAAGCACTGATTAAATAAGAACGGACAATAACTAACATCATGGAGACAAAATATCACAATAATCAACAAATATTAAATATCAGCTGATCATTGGACACCTGATGATGGCCAGATGGTACTTGGCCGAAACTTTGTTTCTATCTGAATCATATCAACCAAAATGAGAACAATAATTCGAAATAATACCAAAAGTGTGGTTAGAAATACATTTATCCACATTTTTATATGCTAATGTTCAACCAATAGAAGACCCAAGAGCCACTCAAGCTAGAGGCTTACTTTATCTTAACGTGTGAGTGTAAGTATATGAAGTGCAGTTCATGATGTTATGTAGAAAAGATAACAGTTAAGAAGGGAATGAGGATGGTTCCTCGCTGTGGGCGTGGCATTGCGAGTCCCAGCTGTAAAGGGCGGAACCAAGGAACGTAACTCGTTAGAACACTTGACATGGAAATAGCAGTAGAGTAGCGGAGATCAAATCCTCATGAAAATGAAATCCTGCATTGTCTAAAAATTTGCTCAAATTATAACACGACAGGCTTTTAGTATATATGTTGATAGCTAACACAGACAGCTTATTCATGCACTACAATTATGTATAGCAACACCTATCAAAAGGAAAGGTAATAAGTAGACATTATCTGTTTGGGTTATTTAATATTTGTTTATAATATTTTCCATTTCTTAAGTAATTTAACAAAACACACTCACTCATCGGTATCGTCTCTCTCTGCCAATCGGCCATTTCACTCACGTTTTGCGTTTTTGATCTGATGAAGTCTCCTAGCGGAATTGCTCGAAGTGTCCATCTAACTGAGTGCAAGTTTTCACAGAAAAAGAAAAGCTGGTGATTTCAGTAATGATAATAAAATATCCACTTAAAAAAGAGTAAAACAAAATATGTTTATTCAGTCAACAACACTGAATTAACCCATTCCCGGTTGAGGTACTGTATCTACGGCCAGTTTGTGGTTATCCTTAACAATAACAAATAAATTGTAGCGACAAAAGATCTAATGAACTGATGGGACTAAAAAGCGGGTGGTTTCTTTTGTTAGTACCCTCCGGTGCCAGATAAACGCCCCCATTTTCATCTGTTATATTCTTTTTATTTTCCATCACCGGGTGTTTATTTGTAAAGCCTCGCTTATCCGGAAGAAGAGAAGTGAATGGGTCAACAAGGAATATAAACATTATGGAATTATTTTCGATTTCATCAACACAGTTTAAGATATTATGTACACACGCATACACGTACACACTCGAGCATACACATGAGCAAGCATACAAATGCGCCCACGCACCAACACACACACACACACACACACACACACACACACACACACACACACACACACACACACACACACACACGCACATACTCAATGAAAGAAGAAAAAAATCAACCTTACACCAATAAAAAAGTACATAAATTATTATCTTTTAATTTAATATAAAAATAAGGAAAACGAAAAAAATAAGCAGTCAATTTCTGGTGCCTTCTGACGAGTGGACAGAGCGATTACTAAAAGGCATATCTACGAAACTCTGGAGTCGAGATG